TAACCGGTGACATGTGAGGTATGTATGTGTGTGTGTGTGTGTGTGCTGCAGTCCGGGTGGTTCAGTACAAGTCCCTTCTCACCTTTGTTGTAACCCGTGACACGTGAAGTGTGTATGTGTGTATGTGTGTATGTGTGTGTGTGCTGCGGTCCGGGTGGTTCAGTGCAGTCCATTCTCATTCTAGCTGTAACCGGTGACATGTGAAGTGTGTACGTGTGTATGTGTGTGTGTGCTGCAGTCCGGGTGGTTCAGTGCAGTCCCTTCTCACCCTTGCTGTAACCGGTGACATGTGAAGTGTGTATGTGTGTATGTGTGTGTGTGCTGCAGTCCGGGTGGTTTGGTGCAGTCCATTCTCATTTTTGCTGTAACCGGTGACATGTGAAGTGTGTATGTGTGTATATGGGTGTGTGCTGCAGTCCGGTAGTACAGTTCAGTTCCTTCTCACTTGTGGTACATGCAGCGCGTGCACACACGGGCCATTTTGCAGGCCCGACGGCCATTTTGCAGGCCCGACGGTGTTCAGGCCAAAAGCCTGAAATCCAGGGCTTACAGGCCCCCTGTGGGTTCAGGCCAAAAGCCTGAAGTCCAGGGCCTATCCCTGGTCGTTTCAGACTAAAAATGGCAACAGCCTTTTTAGCCTGAAACGAAGGGCCATTTTTGGTCGTTCATCAGAACGACCGGCCCTGAAACTCAGGCACCGAACCAGGGTTTCGGAAACAGACTATTATTAGTCTGTTTCCCACGCCAGCCTCAAGCAGGCTGCTGCACGCCAGCCCCTGGCACATTTCGGTATTGGCAAGAGCTACCTCCTCGGTCTGACTGGCCTCCAGTAGTCAAGAGGCAGAGGCCGAGGTAGTACATAGGACTTCCCAGGCACTTCCGAGGGAGGCAGTTGGTAGTTGTAGTCTTCAGGATTCGGGTGCAGCACTCTGGAGGGAGCGCTGCATTGTAGTAGTGCTAGCGTTAGCTAGTAGTCTTCAGCGCTGGGCGTAGTAGGTAGTTGTAGTCTCCAAGCGCTGGGCGCCATAGCTAGGTAGCACTAGAGAGAGAGAGAGAGAGCTTGGGCGGAGGCCAGAGGTACATACCTGCAGCGCCGTTGCTCCAGCTTCGTCTTTGAGGTACCTGCGGCACAGCGTCAACACCACAGGTTAGTATGGTTCGTAAAAATGAGAGAGGGAGAGTTCTTCTTCCTTCTCAGTCCACCATCTCTTCTCTCCCTCTCACTTCTGACTTCACTGCATCTGCAGACTATGAGAGAAGAGATTCAGAGCTTGGTGACATTTGATCCATCAGACATGGCAACGAGGGACTATTTGGGATTGGTGACCAAGACTTGGTGTTAACGACATTCCCATCTTCTTCCCTCCTTTTCGTCTGATCCTTATCTCTTCGTTTGTGTATGTCTGGACCTGGCGCTTTCTTCATGTGTGCAGCGCCAGGCTCCTTCACACTTCGTGATGGATACAATGCATGTTTAGTTTGAGTTCAAACATTGATTGGGCTAGTTAGAGGTACTCTAGCATTCTGCTTCGTTACTTTGAGCTACGTGAATGAGGTCAGTCCTGTCAGGTCAGTCTTTGCATCAAAGTCTTGCATGCGCTCTTCAGCATCTTTATGTATGAATGAGAATGTACATTGCTTGTCGAGATTCTACTCGTACCGCATTGTTTATTCAGTCCTTTTCATCACATTGCAGATTCTCGGTTTATTACGTACATTGCATATCTGTGCATGTAACAATTGGTATCGGAGTTTTTGCACGTGAATCAGGACGATCTGATCTGACGCGTGTGTGGGGATGGAAAAGCTAGTTAGTCTTTTCTGTTTGATTAGGACATACTAGGTAGACTCCAAAATCACGATCTTGACCTTACTACAAAAAAAAAAAGTCGAAATTTTTTTCTTTTCTCGGATTTTATTTTCTCGCTATTCTGCTGTGGAAAATCGCTATATCGCGACATCTGAAATTCCTATTTTCGTTTTTTTTTTCGTTTTGAAAATTTGAAATTTCGTTGTTAAAAATCCGGAATATATTTCTTTTTTTAAAGTTTCGATGTTCTGTTGCATTTCCCGTTACTTAGAACTTCGGAATATCTTCTTTTTTTTAATTCATTTTTTTGAAAACGGTACGGGAAATACCTCCTGCACGTATTATTTTTCAAACTACGAAGATTCCCATCGGAATAAATCCGAATATTTGTCATTTCTGTTCGGATTTTTTTTGCAGTTCTTGGATTCTATCCGTTGGTTCTATAAATCGGTTGCAGTCTAAAGTTGAATTTTTTTTCGCTTTCAGAGATCATTTCGTACTTCAAGGGAGATTGGGAGACCTACCAAACTTGCAAAAATCGGGATTTTTATGTTTTTAGTTTTCTCGAAAGTTTTTTGCAAAGTTGAAACTTTTCTGGTTTGATTAGTGGCTCCTTATCTAAGTGTGAGTTGGGCGATTATCCCACCCACCCCTCCCCACCTATGTTGTTGCCATCTCTCTCCTTGACGTTTCTGTTTGTATCCGGGTACCCCCTGCGGCGGCATTGGTAAGTTGCCACGTCAGCAGGCCACGTCAGCAGGCTACGTAAGTACGTCAGCAGACCACGTCAGCAGGCCACGTCAGCAGGCCACGTCAGCAGGACACGTCAGCATTGCCACGTCAGCAGCGAGGGATACAGCAGGCACCGGTCTGGTCTATGCTGTTGCGTTCACAGACAGCAGTCATGGACCAGAAGGCCGGGGAAACAGATGAGGCCTATCAGGCCCGCATGTTAGCCTGGAGTACCGAGACAAAGAAGCAGGCAGATGACGCTGCCGCAGCAGCCAAGAAAAGGGCAGAGGACGCGGAGCAATCACGTTTGTTGGCCATGGAACAACAACGCCAGCATGACGAGGCAGCAGCAAGGGATGCCGATGAAGAAAGAGACCAACGTCGTGAGAAGATATTTTTCGGAGAGCGGGCATTACTTACAATGGCAGCAGAATGGCGAAGCRAGGCCGAGAATAGCCAGTTGGAGGATAGCGCAAACAAGATAGCGCTCCTCCTCTCGCATCTCACGGATCTCCTGGCAACCTGCATTACACAGCAGGCGGAGATCCTTGGTCTCGACAACTCGGTAGCTCATCTCCAAGACCGCCTTCAGCGGGTGGAGCAGCGACCAGTCGCCGCCGCCGGTGCGGGCTCGTCCAATACTGCCAACCGCCTCACCGCATTGGAGATGCACGTCGGCTCCCTCCAGGACGTCGCACAGTTACAGTAGACCGCGACGCAACAGTTGCAGCAGCGGATCTGCACTACCGCCACCACCTCGAGTCCGGAGCCGCGCGAGACAGCTCCTAAGTTCGATGGGCAGGAGATCTTCCACGACTCAATCAAGACAGATCCAATTCCATGGTTTCGCAAGTTCGAGCTCACGCTGCAGCTCCACAACGTCAAGGAACACAAGCATCACGCCTACTTGTACTCTCGCTCAGGAGGCGCGTGTCAGGCTTGGTTGGACAACCTGTTGTCCAAGTACGGAGTGGTAGCTAATGACTTGCACACCAAGATCACCTGGGATGATCTGAAGGCGGCGTGGCACAAGCGGTTCCAGGTGGAGCCGCCAGAGATCCAAGCCATGGACAAGCTCATGGTTTTCGAGCAAGGCACGCTGCCGAGTACGGACTGGATCGCTGAGTACCAACGCTTGACGTCAGTCCCAGACATCCAGATGGGCTTCAAGGCCCGGCATTGAGCAATGCCCTGACGCATGTCGAGGACACCTTGACGACGACCGTGGAATTGTTTGACAAGGCTGCGCAGATCATCGTCACGAACAAGGAGGCCAAGAACCTCCGTTCATCTGCGTCAGGCCCGAGCAGGGACCAGCATCGGCCAAGAGTGGTTGTGGTCGCAGCGGCAGCGCCGTTAGACCAAWCCAGCGAGGCTGCGTCTGCCAGTGAAGGAGACAGATTCGCAGCCGCCCAGGAAGGTGGCCGCGCCGGCAGAGGCCGAGGGCGCGGCAAGCCGAAGACACACACCGTTTCTAGCCCCGGGCGCGGTGCAGCAGCTCAGACAGGCCCATGGACCTCGTATGACATCTCCAAGTCCGCATACAAGGCGCGCGAGAGATTCCACTATTGCCTTTGGTGCAGCAACGATCTTCATCAGACGCAGGTTTGCCCATTGAAAGGCAAGGGCAGACAGGGAAACTGAGCACCGCCGAGAGTGACGCGACGACACTCTCGACGCCTTCGGAACTGGTTTCTTCGCGAGTGACCAGCCTTCATTCCGAGGTGCACGCGGAAGTCGACAGTCCTCCGCTTCTATTTTCTTTTGAGGACTATGCTGCCCGGCTCGTTCCAACGCTGGGTACTCAAGCTCAAGGACAAGGAGTGTGTGCGGTTTCTTCTCCGTCCGGCAACAGCGACATATCRTCTTCAAGTGGTTCGTCACGGGATTCGGCGCGCGAGTTCAAGATAGAGGTTTTGGACCCGCTCACATCTGAGGACTTTGCATGGCTTCCTCTCCCGACCACAGGCTGTTTGTCGGGACCGCAATGCGCAGCACTTAGCGCTCATCTCCACACTTACCTTTCCTTCTATGCACCACCAACTTCGCCGACGGAAGACGAAGTCGCGGTGGGGGACATCCTAGCATATGTTACCAAGGTGGCCCACGAGTTTCGCACGCAGCGGTACGATAACAACAATGCACTGCTCATGTATGTCCGCATCCAGGTTGGGCAAGCGTCCTGCAGCGCTTTGCTGGATAGCGGCGCGACTCGCAACTTCATGAGCCAATCCTTTATGCAAAGGGCTGGCCTTGGCGCACAGGTTCGGAGGAAGGCAAACCCGACGGCGATCAAGTTGGCGGACGGTAAGACGCAGCAACTTCTCGACCGTTACATCGAGGCCGTACCGGTCTATTTCGCACCTCATGCATGCGAACCGGTCACGTTCGATATTCTCGACACGGACTTCGACATCATTCTGAGAATGCCTTGGCTTGCAAGTGCGGATCACACGGTCAACTTCCATCGGCGGACTCTTAGCGTTCGCGACGCCTTCGGCGCGGAAGTGGCGTGTACGATTCCTCTACCGCACTCTTCGATCCGGTGCCAAGTGGTGACGGCCAAATCATTCCGGGCGACTTGTGCTTACGAGCAGCCCGAGGAGATCAGCATATGTTTCCTACGGACCGTCGCGGTAGCCGACTCTTCACCCACGGACTTGTCTTCGGACCCCCGTGTGGTACGGTTGCTGGACGAGTTCGCCGACATCTTCGAGTCACCTACCGGTGTGGTGCCGGGTCGGCCGATCTCTCACGAGATCATTCTTGAGGTCGGTGTCGTGCCGCCGAAAGGTTGCATCTCTCGGATGAGCGAGGAGGAGCTTGAGGTACTCCGCGCACAACTCGACGATTTGTTGGCCAAGGGCTGGATCCGCCCGAGTAGCTCCCCATATGGAGCACCAGTTCTCTTCCTCAGGAAGAAGAACAAGGATCTACGATTGTGTATCGACTACCGCAAGCTCAACGCGCAAACCGTCAAGAATGCGGGGCCTCTTCTTCGCATCGACGATCTTCTCGAGCGGCTGGGCGGTGCGAAGTATTTTTCCAAGTTGGATTTGAAATCAGGATATCATCAAATCTCGATTTAGCCGAATGATCGCTACAAAACCGCATTCAAGACGCGGTACGGGCATTTTGAGTGGGTGGTCATGCCTTTTGGCCTCACCAACGCCCCGGCGACATTCCAGGCGGCGATGACCAATGAGTTTCGTGCAATGTTGGACCGGTTCGTGCTGGTCTACTTAGATGATATTCTCGTCTACAGCCGGACATTGGAGGATCATCTTGGACATCTTCGACGAATGTTGGAGACGCTCCGCCGTGCCAAGTACAAGGCCAACCACGACAAGTGCGAATTTGTCCGACAAGAGCTGGAATACTTGGGCCATTTTGTCACACCGGACGGCATCAGTCTGCTATCGGACAAGATTCAGGCCGTCCAAGAATGGTCGGAGCCTCGGAACATCACGGATGCCTACTCGTTCCTCGGTCCTACCGGCTACTATCAGCACTTCATCAAAGGCTACTCCAAGATCGCGGCCCACTTGAACAAGCTTCAGTGCGAGGATCGGCCGTTTGACTTTGGAGAGGAGGCGCGGGGATCATTCCTCGCTCTCAAAGCCGCGCTATTGTCTGCGGAGGTCTTGCGGATATATGACCTRCTCGCGCCTACACGTGTCACTACGGATGCGTCAGGCTATGGCATTGGTGCAGTCCTCGAGCAACATGATGGTGTGGACTGGCACCCGGTCGAGTACTTCARCAAGAAAGTGYCMCTCRTGCATTCCATTGACGATGCACGCAAGAAGGAGCTCCTCGCCTTCGTCCACGCGCTCAAGCGGTGGTGGCACTTCCTCCTTGGTCGAAGCCAATTTCGCTGGGTAACGGACAACAATCCGTTGGTCTTCTACAAGACCGAAGACACCGTCAACAGCACCATCGCTCGATGGATGGCTTTCATCGACCAGTTCGACTTCTTTCCCGATCACATTCCCGGGAATTCGAACCGTTTTGCGGATGCTCTTTCATGGCGTCCGGATCATTGTACTGCGGTCTACTCGACTTTCGAGATTGACGATGACCTGCGGAACAGCTTCATCCGCGGCTACCAAGCCGACCCCGAGTTTCGCGACAAGTACGCGAATTGCTTCTCGCCTAATCCGGCTCCTTCTCACTATCGGATCCAAGAGGGGTACTTGCTTGTCCACACACGGGGGAAGGACCTTCTTTGCGTACCGAGTGATCCTCACTTGCGTACATGACTTCTCGGCGAGTTCCACGATGCTCCCGCTACTGGACATTTTGGAGTCAATCGCACGATTGGCCGACTTCGCCAGTGATTTTGGTGGCCCGGCCTTCTCGGCGACGTCACGCGCTATTGCGAGTCATGCGAGGTTTGCCGACGCTGCAAATCCCGCAACCATCGTCCGTACGGCGAGTTACGACCATTGCCAGTCCCGTTGAGGCGAAGGGAAGCGATTGCCATGGACATCACCGGCCCGTTCCCCAAGCACAAGACCGGAGTGGATGGGATTCTCACGGTGGTYRACCGACTCACCAAGTTCGCCATGTTTTTGCCTTGTCGCTATCATGCCAAGGCACCGGAGTTGGCCGAGGTTCTGTACGCCGGTTGGATTCGCAGCAAGGGTTACCCCAAGGAGATCGTCTGCGATCGCGACACTCGGTTCATGTCCGATTTTTGGTTGGCGCTCTTCAAGCGATGGGGCTCATCTTTCAAGCCCAGTTCAACTCGCCACCCTCAGACCGATGGCCAGACGGAGAGGGCGCATCAGACCGCACAGGTTCTCCTTCGCAATCTCATCCGCCTCGACCAGAAAGACTGGGTCGAGCGACTGTCGGACGTTGAGTTGGCCTACAACTCTTCCATCCACCCGGCTATTGGGATATCGCCCTTCGAGTTCGAGCACGGCTCGCCGGTCACGTCACCGTTGGACACGATTACTCCACGCACGGCCGAGAGCGACGACCATCTTCTTTTCTTGCGTCGGATGCAAGAGCTTCTTGTCAAGGCACGCGACCAGATGGCTAAGATGCAACAGCGCATGCGCCAACAGGCAAATCGCTAGCGTTTTCCTTGTCCATTCCGCGCCGGAGACCTTGTCTGGGTTTCAGCAACGGAATTCAGCCTTGAACAAGACATCTCTCGCAAGCTCCTTCCGAAATGGATGGGGCCTTGGCCGATCATCGAGCCCGCTGGGAACGTACCTGGGGGGCCTTCCTTCATGATTCAGGTGCCTAGCCACTTGCCCGTCTACCCAGTCTTTCATTGTTCCGAATTGGCTCTGTACACGCCTGCGGAACATGATGATTTTCCCGGGAGACGTACGCAAGATCCACCTTCTATGGATGGTTTTCAGGAGGTCGGCGACATCATCTCCCAGTGACGCTACGACAACAAGCCAACTGAGTATCTGGTGCATTTTGCTTACGGCACTCATCGAGCTGATCGTTGGTTGACCCGTGCGGAACTGCAAGCGACAGCTCCAGACACCATGGCCAACCACCCCGACCCTTCTTCCACCTCCATCACCTGGACCCATCCACCATAGCTGACCACCTCAACCCTTCTTCTTCCTCCATCACCTCCACCCATCCACCATAGCCGACCACCTCAACCCTTCTTCTTCCTCCATCACCTACACCCATCCACCATAGCCAACCACCCTAACCCTTCTTCCACCTCCGTCACCTACACCCATCCACCATAGCCGACCACCTCAACCCTTCCTCGCTTATCACCTCCCTCATCCATTTGAGGGCCATAGGGGCCTCAAAGGGGCACGCGAAGTCTCGGGTAGGGCCGGTTAAGAAGGGTCAAGGATCAAGGGCGATTAGGATGTGGGGCCTCTCGTGTTCTCTCTCTCTCGCTTCCTCTCTTCGTCCTTTCCTCTCTCTCTCCTCCTTCTCTCTCTCTCTCTCTCTCTCTCTCTCTCTCTCTCTCTCTCTCTCTCTCTCTCTCTCTCTCTCTCTCT